AGTCAGTCAGTCAGTCAGTCAGTGGGTCGTAAACTGTTTTTAATATAAAACTCTGTTTAAGGTCTTCAGGAGTAGTAATCGAATGTTTTTAGTTTGAGAGCGACCAGTGGATGTTATCGAAAATGAAACGCGTCATTTTCCCTTGAATGAGTGCTGAATTAATAAAAATCTTAGTTGAAGACTCTAGCCAGTTAAATCATGAGTTTCCAGAACCACCTTTTTCTCGTGCCAATTAGACCCCGCTGGCTAAGAGGAACAGGCGGCTCTTGGGACAAGAATGAGTCGGAGCATGGTAAGGGTTAACAGTGCTCTGCAAGGTCGCTCGCTCTGTAACTGATGGTGATGTATTGAAAGGGCGTGGCTTTGCATCTGAATTCAATATTTCTGTCCACCAAAAAGACAACTGAGCTAACTTTCCTTCAACTCCGGATTTTAGGTCCCTCGTCAGGATTAATGAACCCAGCCCCTGCACCTTCACACGCGGCGGGACAGCACCGTGGGGCTCAGGCCCTCTCATCCGGCCGGGTCCAACATGATCCTTCTGTCGGTCCAGCGCCCGTGCGATATGTCAACTTTTTGGCTTGCGGGGGCTACACCGTGGAAATAATAGGCGGGAAACATTTCAAGACCCCTGAAGGAGAGTTTGTGGAATTGAAGAGCGGAACGCAATACAAGATACATGTTAAAAACACTCATGCCTACGGTAAGAAGTGAATCCAGTAAGTCAATACTGCATCCATCTTTTCACAAAAATTGAATCAAAACCAGTGTGCGAGACACTCGTTTCATTAGAAAGTGTAAAATAAAAGAATGTTTCAAATGCGCACTATACAGCTTTGACTGATGACAAAGTTGTGAAGGAATATAAATCAGACTCAGTAGGTGTTTGCTTGTATGTCTTGCCCAAGATGTTTTCTTAAGCTTAACAGCTTAAAGATGTCTGCTTAGCGAAGTTATTTGAAAGAAGGGGTGGGAGGAATCCGTTATCGAGGGTTCGACTTTACCAAAATTTTCGGCTTACCGCTATTGTAGAACACGCATATGATTCCTTCTCCTCGTTTAGGTTGCCATTTGGATATATCCATTGATGGTTATGATGTAGGAGGGTGGACTGTTGATGGAGAGCAAGAGTTATCGATAGAGAGACCAGTTAAAGAGGCTAAGAAATTCACCTTCTATCGCGTTAAAACGGCGCCAAGAGAAGCAGGCATCGAGTCGGGCCGTTCCGAAAATGGTGTTGTGAAGTGCGTGTTCACACCAGAAGCGTTCCTGAATATACCAGTTGTTATTTCTTATTCGCCGCAGCCATTGGATATGAATATGCCTCCATCCGCGACAGTTGGTGACCTAAAACGTGAAGTACAAACCAAGTTGAATCAAGGACTCGACCCGGATCAAGTTCTTGTTCTAGACAACCAGGTGCTATCAAATTTCACGCGTCTAAGGTCAGTGAATGTGGTTGGACATTGACATTTTTAAAAACCTTTAAGCTATAAAACAGTCGTTCTTTTTCGCGTGCAAGAGAGTCTATGAATGCGTGCTGTGAGATCTGGGAGAAGCGCGAAAATTATCTCTCTTTCTTCGCTTTCGTACTCGCTGGACTCGCAAGTCCTGCGACTATCACTTCCCCGCATCACCACTTAGCACTTCACGTTCGAGAGGAGAAAGAAGGTGTTTTGGTTTCTAGACAGCCTACATTCTGTAATGACATCTCGTGGTACGAATTTTAATGATTAATTAGTAATTGCACGATAGATCTGTAGCGCATTTGGCATCTGCACTGACGCCTCTTTTGGCCAAAGCTAAATGGACGGCTCTCACTAGCAAATAGTATGATCCTAGAGAGAGGACCAATGTTGGCCAAATGTAGAATGATCAACAAGGAAATTGAATATGAAACAGGGGTGCCATAGTTTCAAATACAACCTCGCTGCTAAAACTGCCTTAAATTCTGTTTCTTTTGGACAGAAATTTGCTTGAACAAGCTTCGGGAAATCTGAGATTACTTGATGCGGAAATGCAGATTACAGTCAAGACATCCTCACGTAAAACCTTTTCTGTGAAGTTAAATCCGGGCAAGGCAAAGGTCCATGATCTAATGGAACAGATAGAAAGAGAGCTCGGTGTCCCCTCTGGGGACCAAAAGCTCTACCTTGGAAGTGCCCTCCTTTCAGATGCACCATGGAAAGGCCTTCCTCGAAAACTCATTTGCAATCCACAGCCGACTGTAGATGTTAAGGTCCCAGAGTATATTGACATCACAGTAGAAGATCAAAATGGCGATTCACATACCGTGAAGATAGATAAAGAAAAAAGCCTGACAGCGCTCATGGAAGAAATACCTTTATGTAGCTCCCTGCAAGAAAACGAAGAAGCCATATTCTTCTTCAATGGAAAGCCACTGCGTCCTTCCAAAGATGAAGGAACCTTAACAAGCCATGGTCTCTGCTCTGGATCAAAGCTGGAGTTGAAAGTGAATGTTGCCTTTCTTGAGATATTTGTCGACGTCTGGTTTTCGAACTACGCAATCGGTCTCAGATGCAGTCCTGAAGAAACATTCAAGGATTTGGTGAAAAAGGTTGAAATGGAGGGCAGAAACAGAAATCTGGAGAAAGTTACATTTGCAATGGACGGGAGAGTTTTTGATCCGGAAAAAGACAAAGGCCGTCTGCAAGGTAAACTGTTTATTAAGTGTTAGTAACAATAAAGTAACTTCAACGTTAGGTGACTGATAACTGTCAATCAAACTTATTTCGATTTTGAAAACTTGTTTGTTCTAACTTCACGTTTTGTTTTGTGATAAATTAGATTACGGAGTTAAGCATCGCTCTCAACTTCAGATGAGATTGGTCAGACCTACCCCCGAGGTTAATACTGGTGGTGATTCTAAAATTCCTCTTGAAGCCGACGTCTCAGAGTCTGTAAAGGAGTTTGGGTAAGTCAATCTATTTAAGGCTCTAGTTTATTTTGCTTCACGCCTCATTGACATATCAATACCAAACTCTCAGTATCTGGAGGGTGTCAATGGGGTATACGTATAGCCCTAGACAGTGAACGGGTGTCTGGAAAACCAGAATAGCGAATAGCGAATAGTCGCGAATAGCGAATAGCGTATAACCCCGAATAGTGCGAATAGTGGCGAACAGTCGCGAAAAGTGGCAAATAGTGACGAACAGTCGTCAATAGTCACCGCTTTAGATCTAATATCCAGCGTTAATTAATTATCCAAATAAGCAACAGAATTTCAGTGAATTTGTTACCTTTTCTTCTCCGGACTCAGGCTAGTAGGCTGTCCATAACCGACATTAAGAAAACAGAAAACACAAGGATAACCTAATAAAGACGTATTTACCCTTTTGCAGCGGTTAAAACAGAAGAAATTACGTTTAGAAACACCTTTTGTCCTGATAAGCGTCTGTGCTTTTTAGCGGGAAAATCCCATCCTAAGTTGCTTCGAGGTTGACTGCGAGATATTGGGTACCCTATTTACTACTATTTTCCACTATTTGCCACTGTTTGCCACTGTTCGCCACTATTCGCACTTTTCGTACCATTCGCTATTCACTATTCGGAATTATTCGCTGTTCGCTATTCGCGACTATTCGCTATTCGCTATTCGCTACTCGGGTTTTCCAGACATCCAGAGTAAACAGCTGAGAATAAGCCATTTAGTCAGTAAACTGTTCGAAACAATGTTAGTCAGTAAACAGTAAAAACGGAGATTAGTCTGGCAGTTAATTTGTATGATTTTACGATTTTTATGAGTTTTGGATGACCTTCGTTTTCAAAATAAGTAATGATTGAAACAAAATTAGCTCATTTAAATTATTGAAAGTGACGTGATTTGGAGGCGCGGTGGCCTCATGGTTAGTGTGCTCGACTCCGGATTTAGTGTGTTGTGTTCTTGAGCAAGACACTTCACTCTCACAGCGCCTCTCTCCGCCCAGGTCTACAAATGAGTACCGGCGACTTTAATGCTGGGGGTTCGAGTGCTAGGGTCCTGCGATGGACTAGCGTAGAAATACCCCTACTCGCTTCATGCTACAGAAATCGGGATAAGCTCCGGCCTGATGGGCCACGTAGCTCATATGTAGACTTTACCTTTCCTACCTATTACGCAGTTAGTGTTACGCTGTGGACTCCTATACGCGTCTTTTAAACCGTTATGATATCATTAATGTTTAGCAAAACGGCACACTGAACACTAAAAGTAAGCTTAATTTCTGTGATAATTTGTTCGTGTAGTCGGCCTCGCTTGGCAAAACAATTTCGGCTCAAAGCAATTTACTCCAAGCTCCCTAGCTTTCTCATTTACACTCTATACGTGGCGTTTGGAATTATTGAAGCTGCATGCCAAAGTCACCCAGGAAATAAAGTATTGAGCGAAATTGTTCGAGAGCTTCGCAGTGGAGCCCCGCAAATTAACGGTCACTAACGGGCCATGAAAATTTGGCCGTATTAACGGAGTGGCCGCCTGATTAACTGCAACGTTGGTCTTAATTGAGTGACGTCTTAATTGATATACATGCATCACAATTACACTTCTAAACGACTGTTCTTTAATAAACATCCGGAACGCAGATATAGTTTATTTAAAAATTGAATCTTCAATCATTACGTACAATATTAACCATGGAAGGATGAACAAAACTGGTTTGAGTGGCCGTTTAAACGGAGTAAAATTATAAAGGATTATCCAGGTTTGAATTTCAGAATGTGACCTTTGGCCGTAGTAACGAGGCAGCCGCATTAACAGGGTTTTCTTATAAGAAAACTTATAGGTGTTTCGCCGGGACAAAAAAAGTGGCTGTAATAACAAGGTGACCGTATTAACGAGATGACCGTAAGCAGAGGTTTTACAGTAAAGCGCTTTGCAAAGAAGCGAAGAGAGAAGCCTGGAACTGGTAACTAAAACCGCAGCCAGACCACAGGCTCGGAGCATGTTACAAAATGAGAACCAATCAGGATCAAACTCCAATAGTATACACACCAGACGAAATATGACGGAATAAAGAGCTTTAGACGAGGTCAAAGTAAACTAGAATTTACATTTGTACCCTAAAAATGTTGTCATTTGTCGTGAAAAGTCAGCAACCTTTGGCCGAACCGCATACGCTAAAAAGTCGATCATCTTTTCTATGTTAGTCAGTTCATATTTTGTGGTTTATACGGTTACGATAGGAAAAAACCATCATTATACGCTAATCAGTTAATCCCATTGACACCCTCTATCTGGGGCGGATACAGGGATTTATAGAAGAGGTTTCGAGATACGGACGTTCGAAAGCGGTCCCCTGTAGGGGGTGCGGGTCATCCTCCCCCCCCCCGGCATTCTGAGGACAAGTCAGCATGTTATATTTCTCATTTTTTTTTTAAATTTAGGTGGTTCGACCGAACCCCCCCGAACCCCCACCTAGATCCGCCTGAACAGTATGGGTTTTTAAGGTTAAACTTCTCAAATACCGACACCGTTGGCACAAAGGGTGTGTTTTAATTTAATCAAGGTACCTTTCTCGTGTACAAAATTGGAATTGTTAGTGATCGGAAAATAACAATCTAGGATACTGAGAAGTCCGAAAAAGCTCTTTAAAGTGTCAAATAGTTCGTTCCGGGCTGAGCCCTTCCTCAGTATGTGGAATATCTTCGGCATACCGAGGAAGGGCTAAGCCTTAAACGTCTAAAGTAGACGAACTATTTGACACTTTAACTTTTCAGCCTTAGACCATTCGTGTTAGAGTCAAGCATCCTATGAGTTTTTCTTTGCTCATTTCTACTTAGGAGTCTTATCTCTGAAGAAGGTCAAGACAGCAAACTTGAAAACATCGGCCAATTTTTTGACTGAAAACATATGTCTTCTATGTCGTAGTCATGATAATTACTGCAACCGGGAGCCATAATCGGGGACGGAGACCGTAGGCGCGCGCCATTTCTAGTATTGGGGCTGTCCCTATGATATGGGACAATTTTTTAATTTTTAGAACAAATTACGCCATCCCGTGCGGCACACGCGCGTACATGCTGCGAGGATTTTTGCGGATGTAGCGCGGGGGAAATGGCGTCCGAAATTCTCCAAATGTTTGATGCTTTTAGCCCACAACTCAATACTTTCATGTCTGTTGGAATTTTGCTCTAGTGTTTTGGTCGTAAGCTGCTCCAGTTTGAGTGAAGTAAGACAGTGTCAAACTTAGTTATGTGCCATTTTATATCACTGACCAAGTTGTGTTCCTCAGCTTCTTTTACAAGGGCTCCAAATAACTCCACTCTAAGTTTCACATATGTTGAAGATTGACAGCTTTTCCAAAACACAGCAAAAAACTAGTTGGATATATTTGGATACAGCAGCGTTTCAGGACTTCAAAGTTTCCCTCCTCTTGCCACACGCTTGCGGAGATTTCGCCAGAGTCTATCTCGACCGAAGACTTAAGAAAAATTATAATAATTTCAAGTTTGAATTTCGCCTGAATTGTAAGCAACGCTTGATGTTTTACAAGGCCCAATAAGTGACAATAAAGTTCATCTCTGTAGATGCTGCTCAGTTTTGTTTGAGTAAAAATCCAATAAATTGTCTGTTGTCCATGAATAAGAGCGACCGCCGGTGCGTGTTTTGTACAGTCAGTAAAACATGACAAATTGGACTTCCGCACTTTCGTTTGAAAACGTGCATCGAACTCATATAATATCTCTACTTTTTAAATATGTTTAAGGTTGATAAATGTTTGAGAACATATTAAAAGCTTAGCTGAATATATGTGAATACAGCAGAAATAATCGGCAAAGTTACGATGACGCTTTCTGTAATCAACTCGAATAACGATTTCGATTTGGTTGGTTGGGTTATCAAAACTCCTTGTCTATTTTATTTTCGCAGTGTAAAATTTCACTATGTTAAAGAAACACACCTGATATTAGCAGCCTTTTGGCGTTGCTGAAAATTGTTGCAGCATCTCAGCGCAAAACACAACGAAAGAAATTTTTGTCAAGATTTGTTGACAATTGAAAACACCTACCTCGGACTTGAAAGTNTCTAAAAATAGAAAAATTGTCCCATATCATAGGTGCGCGCGGATCCCAAGACTTACGGTCTCCGTCCCCGATTATGGCTCCTGCTGCAACATTACCACGAGTCTTTTTGCTTTTTCACGGTATACACACTTTAAGCGAGTGTGTATACCAAGAAAATACAAGTGACAAGTGGGATATTCCATCATGGTATATCACGACAGAACGTTGCATAACTATGTTATACCATCCCATAGAGAATACAGTGACCTACACAACCAATGCGACATACGCGCAGCGCATGATGGGAAGGTTGGAGGTAATATTGTCGGATATACAACGGCTTTCCTGTATTCTGATTGGCTGTATTTTCTATGGCATGGTATAAAAGATAATATTCGCTAACTTAAATGTTCTCTTACGATTTGCACATAGTTATCAATTAGGAAAGGTACTTGAACTCCAACAAATGGCAGAGTCTCTTGCTCAATGTTCTGACCATTTTATCCAAGAGGTCCGCTCTGTGAAAGGAACAAAAGGTATAATTACGTTAACAAAAGCCAGATTTTATTTTGCCTTTTTCAAAGAATGAATGAATTCTAAATATTCATTTAAGTTGATTATCGAGAACTTTGTCTCCTCTACCTGACAGAGAAAAAATCATTTCTGAGTGCTATAAAGAGAAAGTTCAGGCCTGGCCATGCTGGCAAGCATGAGAAGATAATTCATCAAAGCGGGGGAATGATTGCTCATGGTAAGTGGGAACCTCTAAATATTTTGTAAGTATGCTGTGATCGTGGAGCTGTCATTAGAACTGGAATTGAATTCTTGGACACTTATGAACAGAGAGGCTTGCTTTTGGATTTAACCTTAACTGTATCCACAAGTTGACAGAACCTTCAGATTTAGAGGTACTATTAGGGGTTTTCCGGATAGGGAACCTTTAGGTAAGACATTAACTGGATACAGTATATTTGATGGGAGAAAAATTCAAAGGATATCGAATGGTTAGAACAGATATCCTGGGATATCGAGTATAGAAAAGTCGTAAATATTGAAAGTTTAGACCAAAAATAAACGGGATATGGGACACTCAGACACCCCTTCCTAATGGGGCCTTAATTTTAGAAGCAAACGATATGAGAGCGGTAGCGGGTAGTAAAGTTGCTTGAGACGGTTGAGACGGTACGAAATATTTTTTTTAGTCAGCTTCGTTTTCAAAGAAAGAAAAAGATAATCAGACTTCATTTGCAGCAGCCGCTTCTATAGGCTCCAAATATTTAATTAGTTGTACTTGGTTTTTCATTTTTATAAGCTTACAGACACAGTGTTTCCTAAAACTGCACACTTGGGTCCTTTTATTTTTTCAGTGGGTTCCCACAGACCAATGCTCGCAGCACAATCAGCTTTCCTCAGTGTCATGTCATTGGTGAAATCAAATCAATGACACGTTAACAGTCCTTTTCACGGATAGGTTTGGCATTTGCATTACAATGCAATCCAACGTGGATACGAGGCGATTTCGGACTGAAACTACCAAATAGCCCGAAATTGCCTCACATATATGCTAGATTGTATCGTAATACAAATAAAAAAATTAACCGTGAAAAGGGCTATTGTGGCTGGTCGGACATTGCAGGTGTGGTTACAGAGTAGGTCATTCATCTACTTGTGACGCTTATCACATGGCGTGACGCGTGACGCTCGGTTTCACGTAATGACACCATGGGATGTAAGATATCAAACGCGAGAGACAGTGTTTCATCGGAATATCCAAACACCGAGAAGAGAGTTGAAAATACGACGCGCAGCGGAGTATTTTTGACGAAATTCGAGCTGTTTAGATAGCCGATGAAACCCTGTTTCGAGTGTTTGATATATCTTCTCAATGGAAACAAATACTAACGAGAAAAGGGAGAAGTAAAATCGTCAAAATCTATGCTAATTAGACCGGATATCCAAACCTCCTTCGCGGTTGTGATTTTCTTTTCTTTTTATCCCTGTAAAATGGCCCAAGAAAATGGTTTGCTACATTTCCTTGTCAGTGATTTTGTCTCTGCAGCATGTCACTTGGTGTGTCAGCGCCAAGGCCCTTCACCATCCCTCCCCCAAGGTCACCTTAGGTAATGCTAACGCTTATTGCACATTTACAACGGCCCTTGTGCTTGTTCTTGCGCTTAATAGTATGCTTGCGTCGTGCGAGCGAACCAGGTGTTCCATGAAATGGGAAACAAACGATAACTAGTATACATTTTTTCCCGTCGAATCTCGGGCGATTTTAAAGCGGGGAGAAGAATTTAGCGCCATAAAAATGTATTACAATTTAATTACGATTCCGTACGAAGCTTTATTCCGCGCGAAAACGCAGCTACTCAATAATAATTCATCAAGTTTAAACAAAAGAAATCATAACCGTAACGGTTTTTGGATATCTTATCTTAATGAGGAAATATTTTACGATTTTATTTTCCATTTTTTCCTAAGTTTTAGCTTCGATTGAGAAGAGACATCAAGCATTCATGACTGTTTCTATCACATCACCAAACATTTCGAAGTTCGTCAAAAATGTTCCGTTGCACGTCTTTTTTTTTTCACTCTTTTCTCGGTGTTTGGAAATGTGGTAAGACACTCTCTCTCATGTTTGATAAATAACTTCAGACCGACCATCACAGAGTCGATAGGTTGTGGTAGATTGAAATTAAAAAGAATCGGAAATAATTATTATTTAGCATTTACCGTCTCTTGGAAGGTGACGTTACAATAGTGTCATTTTTGTATTTTTAGGGCCCCCTCCTCCACCTCCTCCTCCAAGTGAAACTGCTCCTGTTGGTAAGAGATATTCCTTTCCTAATGCCATTTTTACTTTTTTTCCATGGTAATAATGCAAGCACGAGGCTTATAATATTTCTGGGAAAATGGAAGCTTGTGTTCAACAGCAATGTTTTACTGTTGGCTGGGATGTGATGATCAACAGCGCTAGCGATCTCTGTATCTTACTCAGATTGTATTATTTTTATGTTCAGTGCTTAACTGAACTCCTCCAGTTCTAATTGGGGCCCTTAAACACCTTTTGATGTATTTTTGATCTCAACTTATTTTAAAATGCGCGGAAATCCGCTTGGACTGTCCACGAGAACAAAATCCGCGCTGAAGGATTGGCTTTTTCTAGACAATTTATTTTAGATAACCAAGAGTTACCTAAAAATAACTTGAGAGCGTTTTCCTTGGGGACAAGGCCTATATCAAATACTTATTAACCGAGAGTGAGGTCTTTACGGAAAAATTTCAGACCGAGACCCTGCGGTATTGACCGAGGGATAGCGAGGTCAATACGGCAAAGCCGAGGTTTGAGATTTTCCCGTAAAGACCGAACGTTCGTAAGTTGTTTATTATGCGGCTTTCTGCTTTGTTTTTGCAAGCACGTAATCGGCCCGTGGGCATTGCTGGAGAATAATGCCCTACAATTAGCCAATCAGAGCGCGCGTTAAATCGCCCACACACCCATCCTTTCTCGTGCGTCGTAATTTTATAATTACCGGAATTTCAATAACGAGTTCGCTGAACACAAATGTGACTGGAATTTTGCGCCACTAATCTGTCAACTACGAAACGAAACTTCGACAAGAATGGAACAAAATCAGTTAACATGCTTCTAATAGTTTTTTTGGAAAACCTCTCTTCTCTTAGAATTGTCCTCCAAAGAAAAAAACAATTGTGACCCTTGAACAGTGAATTCTGGGATCCGTTTTTATAGAGGAAAGCAACAGAACAACAGAGTGTATTTAGTGTGGAGCTGAATTTTGTAGCTTGGCAAAAATTACCACGAACAACATAAATCATCGGATTATACCAAACTTGTTTCCATACCACAAAATATGATTTCAGAAGAGCAACCATTATCCAATCCAAAACCAAAAAACTGTATATATGGAGACGCCACAGTAGAGGTCGGTGACCATGAGGAAATGAGGTCGACTTGTTTCATATGATACGAGTGTGACAATTTTCCTGAAGAATGTGATTGGAATTAATAACGAAAACAATTTGCTTGGACAGCCCTGTGACGGTAGCTCGAGATAAGCTAGATTTCTGTTGTGACAAGGACAATCTTGTGCCTCGAATCTTGCTCATTACTGTGCAAGCCTGACAAAGCGAGCGTCTCTCGAGAGTTCCGTTGCAGGATCGATTTTGATTGGTTTTAACACAATAGAGCTGTTGTCAATTAAGTGTCGTAAAACCAAACCAATGTTATCACTCTAGCCAGTCACAAAGGACAAAGACAATTCAATGAACCAATCAAAACTACACAAAAATACACGAAGCTGACGTGAAGCGCGGAAAAACACGTGCGCGCGAGTCACGATTGGGTTTGGTTTTACTTCTGATTGGACGAGAAAATGGCGCTAGTTTTCTAAGCCAGTCGTGTGATATGGTGAGGTAAAATCAATCACTTTTTGACACTCTAGTGAAAATTGTTCTAAAAATGGTGGTATTTTGGCACTTCAAACCAGACCTAGGGACCGCTGGTCAAAGGGAAGAAGGACTCTGGGTATGAGAGTGTGAATAAGAGAGAAAATAACCTACACAATAGAACATGCGCACCAGGTAGTATCAACACAATCTCGTTCCTAGTGCCTGTGTTACCCTGTACCTCCCCCCCCCAAAAAAACAACAACAACAACAACAAAAATCTGGTTGACACCATCTGCCGTCATTTGGCACGTTCTGTAAACAATTTGTTGTCAATAACAGGCCGTTTTTAATTTTTTTAATTTTTTTTAAATGTCGTATAGTTGTCTAGAATGTATACTAAGGAATGGAGAGTGTATATTTTTTGAAGAGCCGTGGGAACGGTCATCTTTTGGTCTTGAAAAGCACCTAAGTTGCACCAGTGATAACATTTGGTCTTGCTTGGGAAGTTTTGTTCTTCACGGATCAATGCCTTGACATATTTCCGCTCGTGTTTCTTTATGAAGGCGATTTAAGTGTTCTGTAACTTTATTACAATCAAACTGTGGCTTTATTTCCTTACCTCGTTTAAAGTGATGACAGAGTATTAATGTAATAACGTTGATTTTTTTTTCATTTCGGTGGCGCAAGGACCTGCAGGTATTATGGTCAGGCATCAACAATGTGGCGACCTCGATGAGGATGGTCACGAAGATGAATCTTCCCAAGGTGAATTTTACGATGTTTTCCTGTTAGTGATGAAAGCCGATCGTCAGCGTGAAGTGATTTTGTGATAATTTCTATTAAAAGTTATTTACATCTTCAAACTATTTTTGATCTGGAATGGATTCTCACGGTGCTCTGGCTTGGAAGAGGTGATCATTGAATAGAGGTCTGATCGGAGGCCGGAGGCTATCCAGATAGCACGAGATATTACGATGCATTATCGTAGTTTCACACCCATGCATAAATGGATCAATGAAACGTTTGTTTGTACTGTATTCTTAAATCCAGAATCGTAACATGTCAGCACTACCAAGAGAGAATGAAGGCTAGGAGACTTAAATTTCCCATATATGTCTCATTCCTGCTGAAGTAATCCCTGTCAAGTTAGTTTTAGATTACTCCCGATTTCCGAAATTTCAAGAGGGTTTAGAAATAGCCAATCCTGTGATTTTGTTCCACCACGCGGACAGTCTAAGCCGCGGCTTTACGTGCGTTTTCATCCTCCACGAAAACATCCAGCTAAACGCACTTGGTAACATTGTCCGCGGGGAACTAGGCACCCCTCTCTAAAATAACTCAAGTTCAGGGATCCATCAAAAATTTGTTACCGGGCCCTAATTGTTTTTCCGTGGAGGATAAATGTCACTGAAGACGTTTTCCGAACAAACCATTTGAAACACTCTACCCACGTGACTTCGCACAAAATTTAATTAGATACTAGAACACTCCAATGGTCAGTCCTATGTGATGTTTCAAACACGAAAGACCGTGTTTTACCACATATCGAGCAGGGATCGAATTGAAAATAAGATCAGTTATTTTTGGATCACTTCCGGATTCAGAAATCCCCCGAGGTCCTAGAAGCAGCCAGTCCTGTGACTCGAATTTTACTCACGTAGACAGCCAAATCGACCTAACGCACATTTTCATCCTCCACGAAAACATCCACGTAACTCGCGTGTTAACATTATCCACTTGAGGACTAGATACCATGCCTCAAAATAACTTTAAAGGGATTATTTTGGGAATAAGCCCTAAATGAGTGATTAAGTCCCTTAACTGTTTACCACTCATACTCTCTTGATGATAAACACTACTACTGTTTTACTAGCAAACTTATCAGACGTAACACATCATATTACAGATAAATATGAGTGATAACAGGCTTGTTAATGGACCTTGACAGATGTCTTTGATAGAAATCTTTTCCGAACATTATTGTAACAGTTCGTGTGAAAGAAGATATTACTAATAGAAACTCTTGATAAAGCCAAGTGTTTTTTATTGGTAATGTTTACATAGGGTAAGAAATTTCCATGAGACTTGATCAGTCACTTGGCTTTAACCTCCTATTGCGCAGAAGAACTGATAGATGCCCAAGGCCAAAACAATTCGCTATTTGTTCAAATCAAAATGTTCTTCCGGCATAAGTTCATTTTGTGATGTGTAGATTCAGGTACGAAAGTCAAACCAAAAGAAGAGAAAAGATTATGGTAACTTTAAGTAGAAAAAGCCAGCATGTTGCATAATAAGTAAATGCTTGCTATTCATGCCTTATATCCTCTTTTACTTTTAAAATTAACAGATGAATGGGAAGAATATGAGACGCACGGAATACTGGAATCAGCTGGTAAGTGGCTTAATTTTCGTTCTTTACTGGATCTCGTATAGCCGAGCTTGTTTAGCCAAAGCTGTAATCCAACTTCCTTTATTCCGCAAAGTAGACAACGAGTAGTCCCTCTTTCGCTTAGTTCGCGCGGCCATTATTTTTTTTCTCGCGGTTTTCGTTCACGTCACGCACGACAGACTAAGCGAAAGAGGGACCACTCGTAGACTATCTACTCTCTATCCACAAGGTTTAGCTAACGCGAACCATGATCGTAATAATTTTGCCCGGCATTCAACCCTTAATGTACATGTTAGAGTTGACTCTAGCTTCAGAGGCTTTGGACTTTTCGCTTTTCTGTTTCTGTAACTTCAATGTGCGGTTCGGAACCAGTGCATTTGAGTTAAAGACCTGATAAGACTTGTAAAAGAAAGGTAAATTATTGGATTTTTATAAATATATTTCCATATCTTATCTATTTTGTTTTCTTTCTTTCTTAGCATTATACGCGAATTTAGTGGTTTCCACTCAGATTCCTTCGCCTCTCTTGAGAATATAGTTGAAACCATGGCGTTCGGACGTCGGGGACCTCATATGAAGTAGTTGATAATGATCGTGGAAAATTTGAGAGGAATGCCCAGAATGTGTCGGCTGCAGAATCTCGTTTTGTGGGCGTGGCTCGAATTGTTTTCACTCCTACCTTAAGAAGTACCAAGTCCTCCTGGCAAATTGGTCCTATCATGTTTTTTTAGTTCCGACAAATACCCTAAAAGATAATGCTTTAACTCAAACGTTATAAATGGATACGTTCAAATAAGCCGTACCAATCTAAGAAGGTGATGATCAACCCCATCACTTTTGTCTGAAAGTCTGCTTGGTCGCTACACCCTGTATTCGTCCACCCGCCCTTTTTCCTAAGATGGAAAAGGTGTATGTAGAAGAGCTTAAACTCTCTGGCAATGCGAAAGGGCAGTGTTTCTATGGTACCACTGACAAACAAATTTTGTTCACAAGGGCAAGAAATTGGTCGTGTCACTGAACCCGATCCAGCCTGGAGAGCGGGAGGGACAACATTACAAGGCTACAGTACACAACAGTTCATGACTGCTGAACCAATCAAAGTGGATCCTT